TCAGCTGGAGGTATCTGTCGTTCCCTTTGGAAAGGGCATATGTTTTTTTGGTTTGCCATTGTCCCCACCACTCCTTATTCCCTTTTACCTGGCCTGCATCACTCACTTCTGTCATCTGCCTGGCCCCTGTAGGCATATGAGTTTGAGACCCTTGACTAAAGGCCATCTGAGATCAAGACACAGGATGCTTTTTGCCTCCTCTGGGTCAGTGGAGTTTCATCCAGGGCCCTGAAAGCAGCTCCTAGTTTAGATAATGTTTTGATATCCCCTGCTGCTCTCCTGAACAGACTTAAGGCCGTTAGCAGAAGAGACGATTGGATCAGTGGTCCCCTGACTGTCTTTGCAGGCTCTCAGGCTGTTTTTTGTTTTTTGGGTTTTTTTGGTTTTTTTGGTTTTTGTTTTTGTTTTGTTCAGCAGTCTGCAGAAGCATGTAGGGCAAAGTCCCAAACAGATGTTGGCAAATGCCCTTTGAATTGCTGAGCTAAGCCTGAGAACATCAGCTCCTGGAGAGATCTGAGCTTTCTGAAGAACTGAGGTGGTTATGAAGTTAATATTCTTTTAGAACAAAATGATAGACATGTTGTCTGGAATGAGCACCAAAAGAAATCTTTGGCTAAGAATAGTCAAGTCCTGATGGAAAACTGGACAGGCTACTTTCAAATAGCCACACAAAAGAGAAGGGAATTACAGGTTAAGTGAGGTATATGAAAAAAATATCTATAACTTCCAAAAACATAGAAGTTGAAGAAGTTGATCATATTACAGAATTTTGTCCTTTATCAAAAGATCCATGGCAAATGGTCCTTATTCAGTGAACATGTGATTCAGTTTATTTACAGCAAGTATAAAGTAGGGCAGACCCACACCATATGCCCAATGCTCCTTTCTGGTTCAGAATGGGTACATCCATGTGTTAGTTTCCTGTGCCTGCTGTGACAAATGACCACAAACTTGGTGGCTTAAAACAACAGGAGGGTATTCTCTCAGCTCTGGAGGCCAGAAATCTAAAATCAAGGAGTCAGCAGGGACACACTCTCTGAAGTCTCTAGGGAAGGATCCCTCCTTGCCTCTTCCAACTCCCGGTGACTCTGGGTGTTCCTTGATTTAAGGCCACATCATTCCAGTGATGATCCTCCTTCTTTACATGGGCTTCTCCTCTGTGTTTCTGTTTCAATTCTCCTCTCCTTTCTCTTATAAAGACACTGGTCATTGGACCCACCCTAAATCCAGGATGATCTCATCTTGAGATCCTTAATCACATCTGCAAAGGCCTTATTTCCAAATAAGGTCACATTCACAGGTACAGGGATTAGGCACTTGGACCTACCTTTTTGGGAGGCCATTATTCAAACCATTACAGTGTGCAAAAAACATCCCACTCAGAGCATGGACCACTGACCACACGTACCAGACCCACCTGGTACCTTTCTAAGAACACCTCAGACCTTCTAAAACCATCCCCTGGAGGGTGAGGCCCAGGAATCTACCTTTGAACACACTTCCCATGTGATTCTTATCCTGAGTTCAAGAATCACTGTACCAAGACCCTTTTGCTTTGTGTATTAAAAAAATAAATCACTCAGTAGAGCAGCAAAAGAAACAACAGTCATGGAATGAGAACAATAAGAAGCAAAGAAATCAAAACCCCTCTGCCCAAAAATAGGTGCTGAAGCACCTGGGAATACCTAACCGATCTCAACATCACATTTTGAGAGTTAAAAGAAATTAGAGTTTCAAATGCTCCATAGTATATTCTGGCAGAGCATCTGTATTCTGGGTGTATTCTCTCTGCACCTGTAAATAGATGGTCAACTAATAACTCAGAAAGAAAATACCTTACCTAAAAACCACCACCAAAAGGTGGTAAGAGGGAGGGACAGATTTTAAAAGTTTTGTGAGGCATGTGGTTTAAGCCTTCCTAATTATCCATGAAAACAAAACATTCCACTTTTCCTGACTGCAACACTGGGGAGAGCTGTGTATTTGGGCCGATTGTGATTTGTGCCCAGGTCTTAATTTATAAAGGTGGCTGAGTAATGACACGGAGAGGTCACTGTCACTGGAAGAACTTTATTACTTACATTTCCCAAGAGGAGGGGCACACCATGCCACACAAGCCCACAGGGGAAGGACCAGATTTGTTGGGAGGTGGCCCAGAACCTTTACTGTGTTTTCCATGGGACAGGCAAGACAGGGCAGCGGAAACAGCTTAGGATTTGGCTGGCCTGAGTAATGTGGGCAGGCTCTGGGCTACAGGTGCAGTCTCCAACTGTCTGGTACCTGGCCCTGGGTGACCTGGCACCGGGGAAATATTGGCCGGGGCTTGAGGGGGTGGTTGGGGATATGGATTCAGTATGGGGTATGGGCTCCTAACATGATTTTCACTCACTCCACAAAAGCTGGATCACAGGGAAGATATAAACAATTTGGGCTGTTAGTTTGGCCCTGTGATAACAGATGCAAATAGACAAATACAGAACCTAAGAAAATACAATTAGAACAGATTGCTGAGGGGCACGTATCCCCAATCCAGCAATTAGTATCTAAGATCCCTCCACCCCACTTTGTTCTAGAAGCCAAACCCTCTTAAGAAATAATCAGATTTGCTTGAAGCTATTTTTAAAGATTACTCTGCTCATTGTGAACCCTGTATTGGTTAAAAATTGTTGATTTTAATCTTAAATGAAAAGCAGATTTTCCATAGCTCTGTGATTGTGGAAGAAGAAGAGGTGTTGTATGGAAATGATCTTCAGTTTCAAAAGAGTAATTTGTGGGTTTGGATTATGTTTTTCACTCTGTCCACTGCAGCAGAGCTAGAGGATGAACAAGAAAAACTAGCCTAGCTCCTGTTTGGGGTTTTCCTTTCATGAAATACCAGCACATTCAGATAGAGCTTTATAAACATGGTTCCTTCTCCTCCTACAGATATGCCAAGTACTATAAGGAAAACAACGTTGAAAAACGGACTCTGATAAAAGTCTTTGGGATCCGTTTTGACATCCTGGTTTTTGGCACCGTAAGTCTCTGCTCCCAGCCACTGGCACCTCCATTCCTGTGACTGCATCCTAATTATTGTTGTAGTGCCTGAAGGGGTGAATGTTGCCACCATAGTCATGAGCTGGCACTGTGCATTAGTGCATTAGCATGTGGGATAAGAGGGGGAAGAAGTGTCCTTGGGGTCCTGTCCACAATGAAGTCATCTGATGAGTACAAGAAAGGGACTGGAAAAAAATTTTTAATATTCAATTTAAAAAACGCTCTGATGCTTAGGGGCGCCTGGGTGGCTCAGTCGGTTAAGCGTCCGACTTCGGCTCAGGTCACGTTCTCACAGTTTGTGAGTTCAAGCCCCATGTCGGGTTTTGTGCTGACGGCTCAGAGCCTGGAGTCTGCTTCAGATTCTGTATCTCCCTCTCTCTCTCTGCTCCTTCCCCAGTTGTGCTCTGTCTCTCTCACTCACTCTCTCTCTCTCAAAAATAAATAAACATTAAAAAAAAATACTCTGATGCTTAGAAAAAGAGAAAGAGAAAGAAATCCCTTTGCAACTTTGAGCCAACTCAAACTGGCTTAGGGGAAATTTTTTTTTTAATTTCACATAGTTAAAAAACTCAGGGGCAGTTTTCAGGATTCAGGCATGGCTGGATCCAGATGTTCAAATAACATCATTAGGAATCTGCCTCCCTCCATTTCTTACATATGTTCTCCTCTGTTTTGGCATCATCCTCAGCTGTCCATTTCTACACAGTGGTTTCAGGCAGCTCCTTATATCTTGCCAGGTTAGCAATCTCAATACAAAGAGAACGTGTCTTTGTTAAAAGTTTCATCAAAGGCCTCAGGCAGATGCCATTGGCTCTGACTGGCCCAATATGAGCCCCATGCCCACTGCTGACATAATCACTGTTTGGATCATACCATACTCTCAATGGCTGATCTTGGACTTGCCTTGAACCAGCTCCTTGCCTGCAAACTACATGGACCAAGTATGGACAGAGACGGTTCTCCAAAGGGAAACTGGGGTGCTATCTCCAGAATAAGGAGGGAGGGGATGCTGGGCATGCAAAATCCATAGATGCTCACAATGCCTTCTCCAACAGTATATTATTTATGTCATATAGTGCTAAGCAGCACAAGAGTCAATGAGATAGAAACTGAGAGGACAGAAAGACCACCGAGAATAAAAACCACAAGGGCCCCTAAGGGAAGACCATGCAGACATTCTTCCCCTCTGCTTCCAAAGTAATCGTAAACCACTTTTAGGGCAAACTTGTCTGAAACTCTCACCTTGTATGGAAAAACAACAAACCTTTAATGGTTCTCCTCTTGGTGTGTGGACTCCAGTGCTTCTTTGTTTAAAACACTCATGTTTTTGAGCACATCCCAGAAGGCAGAAGCAGAACGAATGGGTATCCTATTTTCAGTCTCTGTGGCCTCTGTTACTGTGAACAACTTGGACTCATCTATGGAAGTCACGGTCACAGACTCCCTCCTCTGCTGGAGCTAACAATTACATGTTAGAGCAAAAGAGCACTGCTCTGAATGTCAATGAAGTAACCTTTTCCATTCTGTTTTCAGGGAGGGAAATTTGACATTATCCAGCTGGTCGTGTACATTGGCTCAACCCTCTCCTACTTTGGTTTGGTAAGGGATTCTTTCCCGTGCTTTAGGAAAGTGATTTGGCAAAAAGAAATCTCGCTAACATGGCCCTGGTCTGGGTTTTTTCCTAGGCCACTCTGTTCATTGACTTTCTCATCAACACTTACTCGAGTAAATGCTGCCGATCCCACATTTATCCATGTTTCAAGTGCTGCGAATGCTGTGCAGTCAATGAATACTACTACCGGAAGAAGTGTGAGACCATCGTGGAGCCCAAGGCGGTAAGGCGCGTCACGTCAGGAGGTGCCAAAACACCCAGAAAGTCCATCAGATCACTGAGAACCATGCAAAAATAAGGCCAAAATCACAAGTGTAATCCCATGGTGGACAAGTGTCTGGACTCTACCCTGATCCACCACTCTCAGATGAATCCTTTTTGGTCTTAGGGAAGAATAGAAATAAAAATAAAGAGGCAAGATAGAGGGAGAACAAATTTTTATGTTCTAGGACTTGTCAATTTCATCAGAGTTATTAATTTAGTTCAGCAAAAAAAATAATAGTAAAATGACTTTGGAGAACAATTTGGCAGTATCTAGTAACATTTAAGTGGGACATACTTTACAGCCTGGCATTTCCACTTCTCCATACCTGCCCTTGAGAAGCACTCACGTGAGTGCCCAAGCAGTACCATGTACACTTGATCCATTGCAGCACTGTCTGTAACAGTGAAGAAAGAGCATCTACCCAAGTGTCCAACAGGCAGACGGTGAAAGAAACTATGGTCCATAGCAAGGAGTGCCAGGCACCAGTTTAAAAGAATGAGGTGGATAATAATAAGAGCAAACATTTTACAGCACTTCAAAGTGCCTCATATCTATTAATTCACTGAATCTTCACAACAACCCTATAAATAGATGCTACTATCATCTCTTTCTAAAGATGAGGAAGTTGAGGTGCAGGAGGGTTAAATAATTTGCCCAAAACCATACAGCTACTCAGTGGCAGAGCTGAAATTCCAGCTTTAGGCAGGCTGGTTTCAGAATCCAGAATGCATCTTCAGGACCACTGTGTCATAAGTACTGGCATGAACAAACATCCAAAATGCGTTGTTGAAAGCAAAACAGCAAACTACAGGACAACATATATGGCATGATATATAGGCTAAAACACAACTACAGACATATACTTACTTTATGTGTTTTCTACATGTATATTATATGTGTACACATATACACACAAATACACACATATATTCTATATATATGTATTCTTTATGTTTCCCACATTTATTATACACACACACATTTGTGTATAGGGAGGGTAACATGTACACTAAAAGTTACTGGACACACACAAAAGTGACAACAGTGATTCCTTCTGCAGAGAAGCCTAGAATGGGGGACTTGTCAAAGGGAGTTTTAGCTCATCTGCATTGTTTCAACTTATTTAATTTGGGTTTTAGTAAGCAAGTCCCCTACACTTGGTTCCATGATTTCTCCCCATCAAGGAGAGATCTCCAGTACCTAAAACAACAAAGAAGGTTTCTTTGTCTTTCCCTCATCCAAGAATATTATTGTTCTTTCCCAGCAGCTGAATGCACAATTCACTGACCACTGTACGTGTATTATACAATTTGAAATAAAAGTTCATTTTGAAACTGAAAACAATTACCATTTCACGGCCCAAGATGGGATGAAACTCGACAAAAATAATAAACAGCTTAAGTTGCAATAGTACAGTTTTCTGGAGATATTCCATCTAGAGTAACTGAAATTGAGGGAACACAACAAAGGACTTTTACATCGCACGTGGGAGACTTAAAAATAGCAGGTGGTAAACCGAGGAGACTCCAAGCCGGCATATTACGTGCATAGGGCTCCACAGCTAATTTACCTTTACACTCAGACATCATTCTTGGCTAGCAAGAGTTTTGGGTCAGCTTCTCTACAGTATGTTGTTGGGTAAATAGGAATAACATTTGCCTTTAGATATGTTTCAGGTGTGTGATTGTTGATAATTCTGTACAAAAATGGGTAAAAATTTTAACCCTTTTTTCCTAGACGTTAAAATATGTGTCCTTTGTGGATGAATCCCACATTAGAATGGTGGACCAGAGGCTACTTGGGAGAAGTCTGCAAGGTGTCAAAGGTGAAAAAGTCCCAGTAAGTTAAAACATTTAGTCTTTTTTTTAAAGAAAATGTATTATTAAATATAAATATATCTATCAATTTGGGTGAGTCACAATTGATGAATTCTAACACAGTTAAGTACATGTAACCAGCACTCAGAATATTATTAGCAGAAACACTTCTCATGCGTCCACCCAATCACACTACCTTCTCTTAAAAGTCATCACTATCCTGCACCCAAAGATTAGTTTTATCTCTTCCATAATTTTATAAAATTTGAATCCTATGTGTATTTAGTATATACTCTGTGGAGTGTCTGGCTTCTTTCATTCAACATTATTTTTGTGAGTCATCCATAACACTGAATATAGCAATAGTTCATTCTCATTGTGTATCATTTCCATTTTATAAACATCCAATTTATTTATCCCTTCTATTGGTGATGGACATTTGGGTAGTTTCCAGTTTGGAGCTCATGCCAAAAATTCTGCCATGGTAAACATATAGTACCTACAAGTGGACCTGCTGGATCAGAAGACAGGCATATGATACTACCAAACCATTCTCTAAAGGGGGTGGTTTGTTTTTTGTTTGTTTTTGAGAAGGGAAGGGGCAGAGAGATCGGGAGAGAGAGAGAATCCCAAACAGGCTCCAAGCTGTCAGCACAGAGCCCCATGCAGGGCTCGATCTCATGAACCATGAAATCATGACCTGAGCTAAAATCAAGAGTAGGTCACCTAACCATCTCAGCCACCCAGCCACTCCTAAAGGAAGTGCTTTAATTCCCACTCTCCTCAGCAGCTCTGATTGCTGGATAGCTTCACTAACTGTATTATTTCTATAGCTGCCATAATAAGTCACCACAAATTAAGTAGCTTAAAACAACAGAAATTCATTTTCTCACAATTCTGGAGGCTGTAAGTCTGAAATCAAAACATTGGTAGGGCTCCGCCTGAAGGCTCTAGAGGAGGATCCTTCTTTGCCTCTTCCAGCTCCTGGTGTTTATTACACCTGCTAGGACCTCTGGTACAATACTGATTAGAAGCTGTAATAGCAAGCCTCTTTGTCTCCTTCCCTACCTCAGGAAAAAAACTTTCTATATTTTACTATAGCATTTGCTGTAGGTTTTTTTTTTTTTTAAGTTTATTTATTTATTTTTGAGATAGAGAGCGAGAATGCAAGCAAGTGGGGGAGGGGCAGAGAAAGAGGGAGAGAATGAGAATCTCAAGCAGGCTCCATACTGCTAGCACAGCGCCCGATATGGAGCTCAAACTCATGAACCTTGAAATCAAGACACGAGCTGAAATCAAGAGACAGACACTTAACTGACCTAGCCATCTGGGCACCCCTGCTGTAGGATTTTAATGAATGCTTTATTAGATTAAGAAAAGTCCCCTCTGGGGGCACCTGGGTGGCTCAATTAGGTGAGTGTCCGACTTCAGCTCAGGTCATGATCTCACAGTTCGTGAGTTCGAGCCCCACATCTGGCTCGCTGCTGTCAGTGCAGAGCCCATTTCAGATCCTCTGTCCCTCTCTCTCTCTGCCCCTCCTCAGTTTGTGCTCTCTCAAAAATAAAATATTAAAGAATGAAAGGAAGAAAGGAAAGAAGGAAGAAAGGAAGGAAGCCCCTCTGTTCTCAGCTTGCTAAAAATTTTTATCATAAATGGATACTGAATTTTAAAATAATGCTTTTTCTGCTTTTTAAAAAAATGATCAATGAGCTTTCCTTTTTCTGTTATGTGGTGAATTACACAAATTGACTTCCAAATATTAAGCCAACCTTGTATTCCTGCAATAAAATCAACTTGAATGTAATGTATTATTCTTTGTATTTATTGCTGGATTTGATTCACAAACACTTAAGATTTTATATCTCTTATTGAGAGAGGCTGGCCAAAATTTTTCCATTCTTGAAATGTCCTTGCTGGATTTGGGTGTAATGTGAACTTGGGGCAGGGAGGAATACACACAACATAAAATTTACCATTTTAACCATTGTAAAGTGTACAATTCAGTGACATTTAAAATTCAAAATTCAAAAGTTTATCCACAATGCTGTGCAACCATTGCACTATCTAGTTCCAGAACATTTTCATCAACCCACAAGGAAACCCTGTATTCACTCAGCAGTTACTCCTCATACCCACTTCCCCCTGGTCCCTGGAAATAATTTTTTTCCTGGCAATCATCCATCTGCTTTCTGTCAGCATGGATGCACCTATTTGGGACATTTCATATAAACAGAATCATACAAAATTCGTATGATTTTTGTGTCTGACTTATTTCACTTTTCATAATGTTTTCAAGGTTCATCCATGTTGTAGCAGGTGTCAGTACATTGCTCCTATTTTTTTTTTAGATGAATAATACTCCACTGCATGGATATAACATATTTTTAACAAACTATAGAGATGATCTCTGAAAGTACAAGTCTTTGGACATAACATATTTTTATCCATTCATCCATTGGCAGACATTTGGGTTGTTTTTAGCCTTTGGCTACTGTAAATAGTGCTGCTGTACGCGCTCATGTATAAGAACTACTTAATTTAAAGGAATGTATTCAGGGGCACCTGGGTGGCTCAGTAGGTTGGGCATCTGATTTCAGCTCAAGTCATGATCTCACTGCTCGTGAGTTCAAGCCCCATGTCTGGCTCTGTGCTGACAGCTCAGAGCCTGGAGCCTGCTTCAGATTCTGTGTCTCCTTCTCTCTCTGCCCCTCCCTAACTCACACTCTATCTCTCTCTCTCTCAAAAATAAACATTAAAAATAAATAAAGGTACAGACTCAAACTCTGTGAATGAAGGTCTGTGTTACAAAGAACAGATATGAATTATGGCAACTTTTCTTGGAGGATAACAAATGGATTTGCCAGAAGAAGGAGCCTGGTGGAAAGAGAGAGGGCAGAGCAAAGTCAACAAACATTTACTGCCTATAATGTGCTGGGTACCATCCTAGGCACTGGGGATACAGCAGTAACAAAGCCCCCACTTTCATGTGGAAGAAGAATCATCAGGCGAACATATCAATTAGGAAGATTATTTCAGATAGTGATAAGGACGATGAAGAACACAGTATCTCATGATGCGCCAAGAAAATGACCTGGGTGGCGGGAACTCCCTAGACTGGGGTGGTCAGGGCAAGAAAGTCTCTCTGAAGAGGTGATACCTGCCTTGAGGCCTGGCTATTCTGAATTTCACTTTCCAAATCTGTAAAATGGAGATAAGGACACATATCTCATGAGGTTCTTCAAAGGCTAAATAAGTCGAGTTTATAAAACACTAGCATAGTCTTGATACATACATACATTTGATAAATGAAAGCTACTATTCATGGGATATCGGGTGTAATTTTATAAATTAATATCAAAATTAAAGAACCTAGACACCTAGGGGTTGTCATTGCTGATGGGCTTGGAAACTTGACTTTTTCAGAGACCCTCAACGGACTTCACAGACTTGTCCAGGCTGCCCATGTCTCTCTGTGACCCACCCCCTATACCTGGACAGCCGGAGGAGATGCAGCTGTTAAGTGAAGTGACTCCTAGATTCGGCGACAGCCCTGCCTGGTGCCAGTGTGGACACTGCCTCCCGTCCCAACTCCCTGAGAGCCACAGGTGCCTGGAGGAGCTGTGCTGTCGGAAAAAGGCTGGCGCCTGCATCACCACCTCGGAGCCATTCAGGAAGCTCGTCTTGTCCCGGCGTGTCCTGCGGTTCCTTCTGCTCTACCAGGAGCCCTTGCTGGCGCTGGACGAAAACGCCAACAGCCAGCTGCGGCACTGTGCCTACAGGTGCTACACCACCTGGCGCTTCGGCTCCCAGGACCTCGCTGACTTTGCCATCCTGCCCAGCTGCTGCCGCTGGAGGATCCGGAGAGAGTTTCCCAAGAGTGAAGGCCAGTACAGTGGCTTCAAGAGTCCTTACTGAAGGCACGGGGCTGAGCAGTCATGTGAACATGACCTTTGTTTGCAACCTGAGCTTGACCTGCAAAGATCTGTGGCCAAATTTTCAGCCAAAGGGAAATGTGTTTTCCTCTCCTGCAGCTCTATGTGTGTCAGAGAGCAGACCGAACAAATAGGCACATAAGCCAGAACCCCTCAGCATGGACCGAGTCAAGAAATTCAGATTGATGTCTCAGTTCTGTCACTGGGAAGTTGTGTGATCCTAGGCCTTTAACCTCTGTTCCTCGTTGCCCTATTACCCAACCTATCTCACAGAGATACTGGGAGGACAAATTGGGAGAGTGTACATGAACTTTCTTGTTCATGCACAAAGAGCTACATGAATGCAGAGCCTCCTTATGAGGCCAGAGTGGGATCATGGAAAATACGAACAAACCCTAACCAACCGTTTGGGTGCTGGTTGGAAAATGTGGATGATTAAAAGTGGCCACAAATTCATCGGCGCTGATGCCTCAGAACCTGAGGGTTATGTCTCCTCCCCTTGCATCTGGGCAGCTCTGATTGCTTTATCCAGTACTACAAGTAACACTGTGCCAGCTTTGGGGTCTTGGTCTTGAGGCTGACAGGAAGCTTCCACTTCCTGTCCCTTGACACATCTGCTGTGAAGGAAGCTAGCCCCGGTATAAACGTCCATCCTGAGACCACCCTACTGTGAGGAAGCGCAAGTGGCCACATGGAGAATAGAGACACCTGACCAGTCCCCAGCTTTCAGGACTTCCAAACCCACTCACTAGACATGGGAGAGAAGCATTCAGGTCATTCCACACCCTGCTCACATATTACTGCAATTGCATGAGACGCTTCCCAGGGAACCCGCAGAACAAAATTGTTGCTGTTCTTTTTGTCTTAACGTTTATTTATTTTGAGAGAGAGAGTGAGCACGTGCAAGCAGAGGACAGGCAGAGAGAGAAGGAGAGAGAATCCTAAGCCGGCTCTGCACTGTCAGCACAGAGCCTGACGGGGGCTCAGTCCAACGAGCCATGAGGTCACGACCTGAGCTGGAATCGAGTCAGACGCTTCACCGACTGAGCCACCCAGGCACCCACGGAACTGTTGTCTTAAGCCACTAAATTTGGGTTGTTTGTTACACAGCAACAGATGACTGGGACAGAGAGCAAGCCTGACTCACTGGAACAGAGGCTCAGCCTATACCTGGACCACCACAGAAGTCCCTTAGGGGCTTAGGTGTCTGTTCAGCAATTCTATCGGGGCTGCAGACCAAATCAGGTAACCCACCAGACCAGCTCTGGAATCCATCCGATCTCACTGCTGAGCTACCCGATACATTCTAATCCACATCGTACTTCTATGACTGGAAGTAGCTACTGCTGTTAAAAACTAGAAAAGGCCACGTTTATGCCTTTAACGTTCTGTACCTTGCAGACAATTAGAATGGATGAGGTTTGGATGCTCCTTAAAAAGTAACTCACACCCAAACCTTTACCATTTCTATACGTCAACTGCTAAGAATATGAAAATGGAGAGTCAGGAGGTTTTAGGATCCTCCTTCAGGATTTCCTTTTCACGGTTTTGGCACTGGAATTGATTATTTCTAAACAACTATTTTAAAGAATAAATAGAGACCACTATTCAACACTGTGAGTGATGAAGGATCTGTGATTTTTTAGCACATATTCCAAGATTTGCCATTTAGATACTTTTTGAAAACCAGATGCTTTCTACTGTATTAATGTAAATCAAATATGAACAAGACACTTTTTTTTTTGACCCATGATTTTATCTGGCTTTAAACTCAGGAATAAGCTAGGCCAGACTGAACTTTCATTTTTGCTACTGTTCAGAGGTAGTAGATAGGACTTCTTATATATATGAGATCTTTTTGAAAAGTGAATGATACATTACTTCTTCAGAATTTAAACTTTTACTCCTAGAATTCTATGTAAGAGCTACAGATCTCCATTCTGACAGCCTCTGAGCCTTTATACTTTTTTTGTTTTGTTTTGTTTTTGTTTCTGGTGCCTTCTCCCTGGTTTCTATCACCTCTGGAGGTCCCAAATGGAGTCAGAATGTGGAATGACAGGTAGTCACTGGATCCACCTACTATTCTCCTCTGCCTTCCTCACAGATGCTTTAGGTGAGAGAGTGATGTGTTATGCCAACCGTGTGTGAAATGTCTGACACTTCCTGCAATAATATGCACCATATTTGTAACTTGTTTTTAGCCTACTGCATAAAGTAATGTCATCAGCAAAGGCATCCCAAGGAGAATCACACTTTGTAGGGACTGTTTCCTTGGACTTACTTCCATTATTCTATATGGTAATTGCCGGGTAGTCACTGTTTCCTGTCTGTGTTCATGCTTTTTTGTAAACGTTGACAGATTTCATGTAGCATTGGTAACGAACTTGCATTCCTCTCTTCAGAGGGCACAAGTCTTTGAACACTTCCTAATTCTAGCTTGGCAACGTACTTGTCTTAACTAGACTGTTTTGATAATAAAAAGTAATGTATAATTTACGATAACTGAAGTGCTCCTTTTACTTCCTTTTCTCAGAAGATCCCCAAATCACAGTCACTCATTGACACTTTCATTCAACATATATTCACTGAAGCACTATGACATAGCAAGATATATATTCGGTCTCTATTCCCAGTTCCTGACACCAAGATACATATTTGGTCTCTGTTCCCAGAGCTCCTAAATCCCTTGGAATTTTCTGGGTGTTAAGAGTGTCGTATATTCTAATGAGGCAACTCTTGGTGGGCTCCTAACTTCAGGACGGGGGCTGGTAACCAGAGAGACCAAGCCATGATCGGAAGCTTAGAACTTTGAGCCCCACTCTGCATCCTCCAGGATGGAGAGGGGTTGGAAATTTAGTTAATAATTGATTGTGCCTACGTAACAAAGCCCCCATAAAATTGTCTAAATTGTGAGATTTGGAGAGCTTCTGGATTGATGAATACATCTACATGCTGGAAGGGTGGTGTTCCCCAACCCCACAGGGACAGAAGCATCTGTGCTCAGGCCCCTTAAGGACCTTGCTCTATGTACTTCTTCATTTGGTTGTTCATCTGTATCTTTTATTATATCCTTTATAATAAACCAGTAAATGTAAGCAAGGGTTTCCCTAAGTTCTATGAACCATTACAGCTTGACATTTGGTGAAATCAGGAGGGCGTAGTGGCTTAAATGCAAATTCCCCTCCCCAACCTGTTCCCATAGAAGAAGTCACCTAGACAAATGACCTTCTTTGGCATATGGAGCAGATGCACTTTCTGCTGACCCCTGAATAGAGAGTTTGAGTTCTCTGCCACCCATGGAATTATCCAAAAGACAATCACATCCTCCTGTGGGAGCCACAGGGCACCTCACTCTCATGATACTGCAAAACATGACTGCCTCCCACTGCCTCTGGTTGTTCACTCTGTTCCCAAATGCAACCTTCTGACCTCTGATTATGTGATTAATAAACTGCTGCCAATTTCACCTGTGTAATGATGGATGTCATGCATTTGGCCATCTCCATAATCTTAGGATGGGAATCCTTCCCTCACCAATGGGGTGAAAAGGAGGTGATTAAAACACCCCTAATTCCTGGCCAACTGGCCGCCCTCAAAAATTAAAAGGCTTGGCATGGTTTCTGCACAGTCACTGTCTGTATAAAGCCCTGCCTTGTAGAGCCTGCAAGAAACTGGGACCACCACCCCCCTTTTATTCAAATGAGCCAAACGTGTGCACTGGGTGTGGTTTTTCACTTCCTACTGCTTATATATTTCTCAACCCATATTCTAATCCCATGCAGTCATCATTCTGGGAATCCCGAGTGTCCCCTGACTCATTTCTGCCCTCTTTGGAAGAGATCACTATCTTTTTTTGCTTTTACTGTGATCTTTCAGTTTCCTCTTTTCCAGTCCCAGAAGGATTACAAATTATGTTTCCAGACATGATTCACAGAGAGGATTTTGCATTTCTAACATCCTTAGTTCCTCTTAATTGTCAAGGTCACATGAGACTGAGTCTTCTGGAATCAGAAGAGGAGGTAGCTAACACTGACTGGCCATTTTAACCAAATAATTGCCTTTTTTTTTTAAGTTCATTTTATTAATTTTGAGAGAGAGAAAGAACAAGGGAGGGACAGAGACAATGGGAGAGGGAGAGAATCCCAAGCAAGCCCTGCACTATCAGTAAAGAGCATGACACGGGGCTCGAACTTACAAACTGTGAGATCATGACCTGAGCCAAAATCAAGAGTCAGATGCTTAACCAACTGAGCCACCCAGGCACCCCTAAATAACTGCCATTCTTGACAAGGTTGAATAAGTGTCTTATGCAAGCTTGTTGAGTATGGTAACTTATGAGCTATATTTTATTTCCCCAAGCAAAAAATAAGCTCCTCAAAGGCAAAGGGTTCATCTTGGTTTGGGGTCCATTGCATGCCTATTGCAGCACATGGTACAGTAGGAAAGAGACTCTGGAAACTGATCACCTGAAGTCAAATCCTGCTCACTCACTAATTAGCTCAGTGGCCTCAGGCAGTTTATCCAATTCTTAGAATGCTCAGTTGTATCTTTGTGTCCAAGGGTTGTTTTAAGTCTTAAATATTATAAGTGTAAATGTATGTAGAGC